AAAAAACATGTCAAAATTAAGTGAGTTTTTGCTTAGAACAAACACAATAATCTTATTTCAAACAGAAAACAAGATTATTTTGTTTACCCCATTGGCAGATTATTTTGCTTGTTTCAGGCAAAAACTCACTTAATTTTGACATGTTTTTTCTGAAAACCAGACAATAATTTGTCCTTCTTGATTTAAGAATTTTTAGATATTCTGGCTGGAAACAAGACAAAAAAAACATTTTTTTTTTTGCAGTGCAGGATTTACAAACTGGAAAGAAAGATTGCGGAGAATGCTTTTATCAGCAATACTAGCTAGTTATTACAAACCTGTGTTATTTTAGTATTGTGGTAGCAGTTTACAATAATATTCTGTTTGTTAATATTAATTAACTGCATAGTAAACATGAACTAAGAATGAAAATACTTCTAAAACCTTCATTAATCTTAGTTAATTTCAACATTTACTAATACATTATTAAACTCAAACGTCGTATTTGTTCATATTGTTTAAAGGACCTGAGCTAACATGAACTAACAGTTGTATTTTTTAGGGATGCACGATATATCGGCCACCATATCGGTATCGGCCGATAAATGCTAATTTTTTCTGTTATTGGTATCGGCCTGATAAGAAAATTTGGCCGATATCTTAAAGCCGATAAATAATGCATTATTTCCTTCAGAGACACTTCAGATGTGCGCTGTTCGTTTGCAGCCTTTTGTGCAATTGTACGTTGTAATATTGTGTTTATTTGATGTATATCTGATTTATCTCATATAGAATGCGTTTGGTTAAGTTAAAAGAGCGCTTCAGTTTACCGGTGATCGTCTTTAGCTCAGCGCACGCAGCTCAAACAGCAGTGCACAACATTAATAACTATGATTGGGAATGTCGTGTATATAACATTCTAATGAGAACATTATTATAATAAAACGTTGTGCATTCTTTGGGTTTAGTTGCTGTGTTTCAGCGCGTTGTTATGGGAAGAGCGCATCCACAACAGGATCACACATTCTGACTATAGCATGCAATAACTGCGTCATTTTGTACATATATAAGTTGTAATATTATGTTTATGTTGTATTAATATTAATCTCAGGATGCATTTCCTTGAGTTAAATAAGCTGCCAGCAAAACGCTTCAGTTTACCGTGTTCATTCAGCTCTTCAGCTTCAGCTTGAGCTGCAGCTCAATGGCTGCTATTTAAAACAGTGGTATTAATTTGTTACTTTTTCAAAATCATTGATATATTATTAATAACAACAACCACTTGTATTTTTCTCTTATTATTTTCATCAACAGTATGGTTTAGTAATTAAAATCATTTAATTATTGTCCGTGCAGAGGCTATTCTGTTTTATTGATCTGTGGCGCATTCATTTTGATTCTTTACACGTGTAATGATGTCCAGTGACTTGTTTGCATTATTTATGCATTATTTTATTTATTTGTAAGACTTTTTTATGACTAAATTTGGTAATGGGAGAGTAAAAATATTTTTAAAACGTACACCGTTCAAACTAGGCTGCTTATGTTGAAGTGTTTGGGATGTGGCTTTTAATGATGAGACCTTTTTTGTAATCAGGCTCTCAAAAAGTATATAACAATTTGGATATAGATTTATCGGCCAACATATCGGTTATCGGCTTTCAAAAATAAAGAATAATTGGTTATCGGTATCGGCCAAAATTTACATATCGGTGCATCCCTAATTATAATATGTTGTTATATTGTTATTAAGATCATTGAATTAGCCTACATTCCAAGCTATCAGAATTTCATCTTACTTTTTGGCCATATAAATACCATCTGCACCAAATTGCTTTATTTTGCTCAGTTTGGGTGTTTTTCTCCTTGAGTATGAGCCCCATATTCTCTTTTTATCAAGTCGAGTTACATTTATTTCTGTAGCACTTTACAAAATACAGATTGTCAAAGCAGCTTCACAGTTTAACATGGAAAAAAAAGTTTCAATTAGTTTCAATTAAAAAAAATACAGACTACAGAAAAAACCTACATGATAACTGGCTTTCTGTCTTCCTGACACTAACTTGAGTTTTGTCTGTGTGTTTTGTAAAGCATAATGTCGGATAAAAGTGAGCTGAAAGCTGAGCTTGAGCGAAAGAAACAGCGTTTGGCTCAGATAAGAGAGGAGAAGAAGAGAAAGGAGGAGGAACGCAAGAAAAAAGAGGTGAAAACACGCCATACTCTACTTTTTTACTTGAATTAATATTATTTAAGCATTCAATCCACCAGAAACTTCAGCTCTATCTGCAGATTTTCAGGCACATTTCATGAATGGAGTACAAAAGAGCCTTTTTTTCCCCCCTTCTTTTTCTACAAATAGCCAGTAAGTTCTGTCAGACTTGAGAGGTCAAATAACATATTAGCTTTTATGATCTAAGCTTATATAATATTAGTCATGTTTTGATTGTTTTTCTATTCTTTTCATACATGACCCTGGACCACAAAACCAGTCATAAGGGTCAAAAACTGAATGAATAATCTTTCCATTGATGTATGGTTTGTTAGGACAATATTCGGCCCGAGATACAACTATTTGAAAATCTGGAATCTGAGGGTGCAAAAAAATCTAAATATTGAGAAAATCATCTTTAAAGTTGTCCAGATGAAGTTCTTAGCAATGCATATTACTAATCAAAAATTAAGTTTTGATATATTTACAGTAGGAAATTTACAAAATATCTTCATGGAACATGATCTGTACTTAATATCCTAATGATTTTTGGCATAAAAGAAAAATCTATAATTTTGACCCATACAATGTATTGTTGGCTATTGCTACAAATATACCCCAGCGACTTAAAACTGCTTTTGTGTTCCAGGGTCACATATGAGGTTAGGTATTTTTTATTTCTTTTGACATTTGCAAAGGTCTTGATAGTTAGACAGTGTTAGTTTCCAGTTATTGATAAACTTACTTTTCCTATAAATGAAAACAGAAATATATGTTTATGTTTAATCATTTTTCTTGCAGTAACTTTAGTAACAGGGCTGAGTGGGTGAGCTTGATGAATGCAGTCAACACCGCAATTTGTGTCAACATTGAGTAAATGCAGTAGGAAGTAAACAGAGTCAGATTGCTGGTTTTTGTTCTTTGGGAAAAACAGAAAAACAGTTTGTTTGTTTCACTCTGTTTTGTTTGTGTCAGGCTGAGCTGAAGAAGGAGCCCGTCCCACTGCAGGATGATTCAGACCTGGAGAAAAAGCGCAGGGAGGCTGATGCTCTGCTACAGAGTATGGGCATCACACCAGACGCACCTGTGGGTAAGTCACCTGTGCACCCGAGCCACGTCCACTGTAGTGTCAGTCAGACTTCTAATATAAAATACCCCTGGAATATGAGATCCCTTTATGCATCAGCAAGACCACCCCTTGCAGTCTAAGTCAATAATATGCTATGTGGACCAGATTTCAAGCTGATATTTGACAGCACTAGTTCATTTGAGAGTGCTACCAACAAATGGAGAAACCTAGTCTAGTGTACTATATTGATTGAACACAAGGGGGCAGAAGTGCACCACAGTAGTTTTGATGGTGGGCAGCTAATTTCATCCAATACTTTTAGCTAAGATGTAGTATTTGACACATTTTATATCTGAACGCTGTACATATAAATTACAGTATTGTTAAAACGGGCTAAAAATGGTGACAAACTTCGTCAAAATTTGCATGCTCAAAATCTCAACTTTAATGCGTGTGACCAAGACAAACTAACAATCATTTAACACACACACACACACACACACACACACAGAGACACATATATTTGTGATTAGTTTGATTGTGTTTTTTTAGTATTATTGTTTATTATTGCTAATTAATTGTTTTGTTTAATGCTGCAGTAGTGGTTACAAGTTTGGAATCATTTAAATTCTTAAAATATTTTTTAAAGAAGTGTCTCTAATAATTAATGAGCAGCATATCAGCATATTAGAAGGATTTCTGAAGGATCATGTGACACTGAAGACAGCAGTAAATTCAGCTTGTCCATCACAAAAATAAATTAAAATATATTAAAATGGAAAATTGTAGTAGTGTTTCTCAATATTACTGTTTTTATAGTCAAATAAATAGCCTTGGTAACTATAAGAGACTTCTTTCAAAAATATAAAAAATCATATTATTCCAAACTTTTGACCAGTAATGTGCATACATCTGCTAAAAATCATCAAAACACTAGTTCATCAGACAAAATGTCTCAGAAAAGTGAAGTTAGTGAGGAGAAAAGCTCTAGTAACTTTTGAGTGCACATGCATTACGTGTGATTGAATTGTCCCAATGTTTTGGAGGGCACTGTATGTAGATGAAAGTATGTTTATGCCTTTCTTTCTTTAGTTCCTACACGCATGTCTCCCACGGCCAAATCTGCAGGCAGTCCAAGTGAAGCAGGGAGCCAAGACTCAGGAGACGGTGCCACCGAGCCAAGGTCTCTCTCTCTCTCTCTCTCTCTCTTTCTCTCTACAGTGCATGTGGCAGGTCTGATCAGCACTGGAGAGGTTTGTGGCTTTAGCATTGCTTGAAGGACAAACCTCCAGTGAAAGTGTTGTTGTATTTTTGTGTCTGTTTGCCGGTCTGAGCAGGTAGGGAAAGATTCTTCTGAATGAATCTCTGTTATTAGCTTCTTTTCACCTGTAACTAAAAGAGAATTTATTGCTGGAAACCCCCCTGAGAAGAAAGCAGGGGAAACATGAAAACATTAGCTCTGTTCCAGCACCTAGTGAGCTGCCCGCTGTGTCTGTGTTTTCCATTATCATAGATGCACTCTTTTTTATATAACTCCGACTGGATTCGTCTGAAAGAAGAAAGTCATATACACCTAGGATGCTTCGGGGGTGAGTAATTTATGGGCTAATTTTCATTTTTGGGTGAACTAACCCTTTAATGCAAAGGCTGTTTCAGAGTGATGATGATGATGCAGCCTTTTAAGCTGTACTCTAAAGCAGAATTGCATCTACAGAGAAGGTTATCCCAGAATCCAGTCTAGTAGGCTGAACCACAAAAACACCACAGGATTTTTCCTTTGGCTTTTGAATATTTTGCAGGAAATAAGCTCTGCGACCAACAAAAGTTGGATGTTCATCATAATCATCTTCACAAAAATGATCTACTCCGTCTACTGACTTTTAACATCATCTCCATTATGCTTTCGACAACTCTTTCAGTCTTTATTTAAAACACATTTTAGCTGATAGTTTGACTTGGAATAGATTGCAAGTGCAAATGATGAACTCGGGGAGGCGGTAAAGCCGGACTAGTGCGTAGATGAGTTTTCCTGTTCAGGTGACGATGTTTACTGTCTCCTACATATAACACCTTGCTAGCAACCGCCTTTTTCAAGGCAAGAAAAAGCTTTTAAAAACCACAGGAAGATGTAACTGGTGTATTGTATGATGAAGAGTAAAACAAAAAAATATCTCAATCTCTTATAACCCACAGACCTTATTTCAGGCATTTAACCAAAACCCATTAACTTCGAGAAGATGGAACTGGAAAGTGCTAAAATGGTAATTCGTTTTCCGCACTCTATTGTCCCAACAGAATAACAAAAAATAATTCAGGCTTATTGCGTTTTTTACTCTTTGTTGTGTTAATGTTGCTCATGCTTATGTTATATCAGTTAGGTGACAGCTGTGCATTATTAATACCAGATTCTAGTTTAGGGATTAAAGGAAATTTGAGAGTAAAACAATATTGTCACTGTATTATTGACAGTCAACATAGAGGGAAAATGTTCTGTGGACACTAGGGGTGTGCGATATATATCGTCTGCGATAATATCCTAATTGTTGTTTTAACGATGTGCGATTTGACATTGAGTATCACTTATTAACAGTGACTTGCTGCCACCTACTGGCGGTTTTAATTTCACATGCAGAGTATCTTTTATTATTTAAATCATTTCAAATATCTGTATTTAAAAGTTAATGGACACTTTTAGAAAAAAATGGCTTTATAAAGGTCAAAATGCCCATAAAATGTAAAAATCAGTTGATGAATTTCTATCAGTGTGAACTGACCACTGCACAGAATATGAAGAATATCAAAAACTTAAGGAGTCAGCTGTCCACGGCAGTCCTTAAGGTACCTGCACAATAACACACTCAGCAAAATATCGTCTAATCATCGTTATCCATAAAATCCCATAAAATATTGAGATATTATTTTTTGTCAATATCGCACAGCACACCCCTGGTGGGGATACAGACTAGAATTGAACCTCCATTACCTGCATGAGCCCCAAGGCTCAACTTTTCTGGCTAGCATGAGCTAACCACTAGGCTCCAACTAGTAAAACAATATGAATATAGAAAGCTTATAGAATAGGAGTGAGTTTTAGCTCACGATAAGACCTGTGGGAGCTTGCTGTAGGGAGTGTTTAACCCCTGATTACAGCAGAAACTCACACACACACACACACACTCACAGATGCCCCCGGGGCTCCGTGTCCACTCATATCCCACCACACACACACACAGACAGACAGACAGCCTCTACTTGTGCTTCCGCTGATGTGGGGTGGTTTAGTGTCATGGTCTGTAAGGATCTCATTGCTGTTTTAATATACGCCAGCAGTCGTCTTTTATTCATTTTGAAAATAAATTTCATTTTATTTTGTAGATAAACATTCCACTCCGTAGAATGAGAAGACTGAAAATATTTTAATGATGCATTTGGCTTTGAAACTAGATTGCTTTGTTTCAGCAGTTTTCGCTTGGTGTTTGTTATTATTACTAGTATTTGAGCTATTGCGAAAGGTATACCCCCGGTTTCACAGACAAGGCTTAAGCCTAATCCCAGACTAAAATCTAAGTCTGAGCTGTTTCAACTGAAAGAAACTTGCTTTAATTGATCTTAAAATATATCAGTGCCTTTATTTTGTCTCAAAATGCACACCAGTAATGTTTTTTTTCTAAGGCACGTTTATAAAAATGACTTAAATGGCCTAATTGATCTATGGCCTAATCCTGGCTTAGTCTAAGCCCTGTTTGTGAAACCAGGCCTTAGAGTACTAAAGTTGATGGGACCTTTGTTATTAGAACAGTTTTAAATGGTTGTGCTGATAAAAATTGCTTGTAAATCTCTCATTATGCTATATTATCAACAACAAATTTTGGATTTGGTCTTTTTGTGAACTTGTTTTCTTTCAGTTAGCAAATGATTTGTGTTTCGTTTTGGAACTGATTGGTCATAGGCCTCATAGATCTGAGCTTATGCACTCAAATGATTGAATATGCATACAATATATTATAACAAGATATTTATAAGAAACGTTTGGTAGGCTCGTCATTTTTTCCTGAACAATTAAAACATGTTCAATTATCAATTTTTTGGGGGGAAGTTATGTCCTGTATGAGAGAAGTCAGTATATGTTTCAGCCCAGTGCAATAACATTAACTTGTATTTTCGGGGGAAAGAAAATCCTCTCTGGGTCAAAACGACCAGAACACAACATGAGGGTTAATGAAGTGTGGAAATCACAATACAATGTCTTTTTCTATCAGAAATGGTGAAAAAGAAACGTATTTCTCCAGAAATGCATCAGTCTGTTGTTCTTTCCAGAGATGAAGACTATTTCATCGAAGACAGCAAACTGGACATCAGTGTCTTGAGAAACAGACCGCACATTGGTGCTCAGCTAGTATTACACACCAGCTTCATTTGCAAAATTGAGAAGAATTTTTACAAATATAGAGTGTGTTACAAATGTTTGAAATTTGTGTTTTGAACTTAAAAAAAAAAAGAAAAAAAAAGGAATTCTTAAAAACCCCTTTAGGCTGATGCACATACCTTACTGCCATATAGATGTTTATACCTTCAAATTCCCAATGAAGTCCAGCCATCTTTTTCTTTCTTTACTTTTTTTTATCTTGAACACCCTGTTTGACCCAAAAGGGAAAAAGGTTGCGAATGTCATTTAATGTTTATTTTAAAATGAACTGTATTCAAGTTGGTATGAGCTTGGTTCGCTTTAGAGAGGTCTCAGACACCTAAAACGAACCAATTGTGACAAAACCCTACATTTACACGTGTTGTAACTATAGCTCAGTGGCCCGTTTTTTTAAACTGCTGTGTATAGCTTACTTAGAGAGCTTTTTGCTCGAACATTTCAGCAATTTAGTGACTAAACAATACGCAACACTGTATCTGTTGTTGATATATAAATTTACTTCATATTCTCTTATTTGAGTTATGGTGTCATTTTAAAGTATGTGTGGTTTTCTCAAGCAGCTGTGATCAGGGGATTATGTCTGGCCCTGTCCTGGAGAACATCAGAGCAGATGATTTCCTTTAGAAACAGAGCACCACATGGACATCTGGTTCTGTTTCTGACTGTGTTGTGTTTGTCTCGTGTCTGTCAGTATAGAGGCTTTTCTTCTGGTCTCTAACTGCTCTGAAGAACTTTAACACTGTTTTTAACCACCTTTTATATAACCGCCTCTCTGTCTTGCTGTATCTCTCTGTGTGTGTGTGTGTGTGTGTAACCCTGTCTCGTGGCTGTGACACTAACAGGACTCTGCACTGGGACTGTGACCCCTCCACTCTTCTGCTTCACTCTGAGCCGGGGTACTGCACACTTTCTGCTCTTTCAGACCTCTAGAGAAAGAAGTCATGAGTGATTGTTGTTGATCATGAGAAGGGATTCATGCTGTGATTCATGCTGTACTGTAAAGTAAACTGCAGGATAGCAAGGCATACGGGTTTGGATGTTTTAAAGGGGTCATATGATGTGATTTCAAGTTTTCCTTTCTCTTTGCAAAAAGTCTCCCAAACAAGTAGAAACCAATGTTTTTAATGCTGAGGATGCAGGGCAGGGTAGAAACGAGCGTGACTGACACATGTCCATCATTGGAGAAGGAGGCTGGTGAGTGGCACTGCATCTGCAGCAGCAGTTAGAGCACAAGCCTCTGATCTGAGAGCTGTTCAGATGTGTGGGGGTGCGAGACATCAGAAGTGTGTAACCCTTTTTTGGAAATGATCTGACTGTAGTGAACATGGAGATGAAAGCTGAGGGAAAATTGCAGAGACTCGAGAAACATAAAACGTCAAGGCAAGATTAAACTCACACGCACACACACACACACACACACTCACATCCGTTTACAGAGACGGAGCGAGGGGGCACAGGAAATGAGTGGTAGGTTAGTGGAGATATGAGAGTGTGTGTCCAAAGGCAGGTCAGGATTTGTGTAATTGCAGTTGAGGCCTTTTATGTGGCAGTTCGTGCATGTCTGAGATATACACGATCACTGCTGTACTCTTGCGTGTGTGTTTGTGATGTCTATACTGTTGATGTTTGTGCAGGAGATAATTAGGGAGCGTTTTAATGAATGCCTTTTAGGGATCTGTTTTTAGTGATATCATGACTATATCAGTATCGGACCATTTAGTTTATTGCCATTGGTCTGGTTAGGCTGATTATTGCAGATATTATCATGGCCTGTTTTTACAATTCTTACAGTAAACTTTCTTTCTCTTACCAAACACATTTTAAAGAGGGAAAACAGTATAGATGTTATAGAATGTGATGTTAGTTACTAGCCATAACGATAAAATAATGTTACCTTTTTATTCATAAATAATTGTGACTAAAGAGTAGGACTGTGAAAGAAGTTACGATCTAAACTGTGGTCAGTGGACTGATTTTTATCACAGAAATAACGTTCAGAGAGACATCTTCCAGTTTCAAGGGGAATCAGTCTTCAGTGATGTTTCTGTATTGTGACAACTGAAAAACAGGATTGCTAAAACAAAGATGAGCAATTTAACTAAAGCAGAAATGATTAAAAACCATTTGAAATAGAAAAGTATGTGGACTCATCCCACATTAGGACTGAGAAATAATCATAATTTATCATTAATAAGTTCCTTTTCTTATGTGTATCACATTTGATTGGAGTAACACAAAAACTGTAACTGACTCATTTTCTCAAATCAGTTTAGGTTGTCTGTTTCAATTAATTCATTTCAAATATCAAATATTCACTGATATCCCCACATCACGTTTCATGTTGTAGTATTTAAAATAATTGCTAATGCTAATGATGTTAAGCGTTAATGTAATATTTTACATTAATATTTAGGAATGTTTCTTGATCAGCATATCAGAATGATTTCTGAAAGATCGTGTGACACTGAAGACTGGAGTAATTATGCTGAAAATTCAGCTTTGATCACAGGAATAAATTACATTTTAAATATATGCAAATAAAAAAAATATTTTAAATTGAACTAATATTTCAATGTGTTTGTTTTTACGCAAATTTTTTTAATCAAATAAATGCTCCGTTTATGAGTTTAAGAGACTTTAAAACGGCTGTGTACATTCTACATTGCTGTTTATTACTTTTTATTGTTAAGTGTCATTATAATTAAATATCATTCCTCCTATCCTCATAGTGAAAAGTGTTTTTAAGTCAAGTGAGAATAATTGTTTAAGCCATTTCGGAGCAAATGCAGAAACATCACCTGTCATGACAAGATAGATTTACATATTGTCAAAAGGCTGAAAAAATATCTAGAGATATGTTTTTTTTCTCTGCGGTGTCACTTTGCCCCAGCCCGCATTGTGTTAAAATTAAGACTTTTATCTGCAGACTGTCCGAAAGCTCTCCTCAACGCACGCACACACGCACACACACACACACACACACACACACACACTCTCCTTCCATTCCTGCCACTGTATAATCATGTCATCTACTCTCACACTCTCGCCTCCAGCACATAACAAATCACTCTGGGTGACATTGGGAGGTTTTCCCATCTCCCTCGCTCTCTTTCTCACTGATGGAGTGGTTTGTGGTGAAGAGGCTTGTGGGGCTGTTGAAGGCTCAGCTCTGTGTAGGTCAGGAGGTGTGTGGCCGTTACTGTGTGCAGCAGGACATACAGGTCTCAGTGCTGTTTCAGAGTGCCAGATACGGTTACATTCACACGCATTCAGTGCATTCTATAAACAAAGTGACTCCCTTAAATCTTCAAGATGCATACCTGCATCAGTGGTGTGTAAACCGAACCACACTGGACAAAACTAGTTGTCTGTCACGTCATACCGTGCAATAGCTGCTGTGCATTGCTTGAATTGTGTTGCATTTTTTCATGTGGCATTCTGACCTGATTTGATCGTGTGTCTGAAGGTTTTAGATTTAGATGCTGTTGTCTTGTGCTTCTTCCATCAGTTTTATGGTCTTTTATGGTGTGCATTAAAAACATTCAAAAAGATGTGCAATGTGCGGATGGAAATCACTTTTATTACTGCCCGATCCACAGCTCTGCTTGCTGGAGCACCAGGGGTTGTGAGAGTGTGAAATTGAATTAAAAGTGATTGTTTTAATCGCCCTTGTGCTCGTGGGAGGGTTAATATCCCATGCTAATCACAAGAAGCCTCTTGTATGGAGAGCATCTCTCTTGAAGTGAGGAACCCTCAGCCCAGCTCTTCACAGATCCCAGCATCTCTAAATGAATGCTATTGTCCATCATCTCCTAAACACACTTATTTCATCATTCATCAGCTATCAGTCAATGACACAGGAATTACCACATTGATTACAGGGAAAATAAAAAGCCTCCGCTGTGTTCATTTTATCTTAAGTTTGTGTTTTGCACAAACTTGTTGGGGCAAACTAATTTGGTAATGTCTTTACAAAAAAATAATAGAACATAAGTTGTCTGAAAATCTATAGTTATCTAGTTGCTTGTTAAAGGTCCAGTCATATTAGCAACATTTAGGCAAAATTTTGCAGGCAAAAAAGGTGTATTGTCAATAGTGTTGTGATGTATGAAACAATACTCGCATAGAAACCAAAGAACTTTCTGTTGGTCAGCGTGTTATATTCGCGTGACCAACCTGTTGCAAAATCTACAATGAAATTGCAAAAATCTTCCCGATCTTGTAGATTCATATTGAGCCTGTTGTTAATTTTTTTTGCCCACATAGTATGCAAAATTCCCGATCTCATAGATTCCAATTGACTGGATTTTGACTGTGAACATTAACCAGACAATGGTAAATTTAACCACACTTTAAGACTTGTGTAAAATGCCTTCATTAAAAATAATGGGGCATAAATTGACTTAATCTGATCAATTGCTTGTTAAATGTGCAGTCACATTAGCAAAATTTTGGCAAAATGTCCCAGGCAAAACATGTAATGTATGAAACACTGAAGTCACATTTAAAATAACCAACTATCTGTTGGTCAGCTGGCCGATTTCATGTGACCAACTGAACCTCTTGCACAATCTGCAGGAAGTTTTTCGCCTGTACGCAGAATACCAAACCTTGTGGATTCCAATTGAAATAACTGGATGTTAATGGCCGCATCTAAAGACAGCGTTTTTGGGCATTAGAGGTGTATTTGTTTATAATACCTTCACAAAAAACAATGGGACATAAATGGTCTCAATCTGTTCAGTTGCTAATGCAGTCACATTAGCTAAATTTTGGCAAAACTTTGCTGGCAAAACATACGTAATGTATGAAAGACCAAAGTCACATTTAAAAAAAATACACATCTTGCAAATCTCAACGGGCTGATTTCGTGTGACCAACTGAATCTGTTGTGAATTCTGCCTGTACGCCAAACACCATATCTTGGGGACTCCTATTGAAATAACTGGATTTTGGCTTTGAAAATATGCTGAGCAGCGGTGGCTGCACCTTAAGACCTCAATTTATGCTTTAGAGGTACATTCAAACAATCAAATCCAGCATCTAAATGGGCCTGTGAAGCTCAGAAGCGCCGTTGAACATTGATCTTTATTGATCTGTTCAACTGAACTTCCTCTCTGGAGGAGGATGCGACCCGAAGAGCTGTGCACATCTTTGTTTTGTTTTCCAGCTGTAAAGCCCATCACGAACAACCCCCTCATTGGGTCGCTCAGGAGTACCGGACTCGTATTCACAAAGCCGAGGTTCGCCTGGGCCTCTTTCACAAGCACAAACGTGGAAGTCGGCGCTCAGAGGTCTCTCTGCGTCTCCTTTTCTGTGGGCGTCCGACGGACTCCGTGCACCTGCAGAGGACATCAAAGAGCATTAGTCTTGTTCTCGAACAACCTCTGACCCCATAGGGCGCTTGCATTAATACATTGTCTTTTCACAAAGCCTGCCTGCCGCCAATTTACCGGCCACTTTCTTTCTCTCTCTGCTTACACCCTCCCCCCGCAAAAAGCTTTTATTTCTTGAGGGATACAAAAGCTATAATTGCTGCTGGTTTGAGATGAGGTGTCGATGGGAAGGGGATCTGCCATCAGGGTGAATTCTGTTAAATGTTTTTCTCCCTCTCTTTCTCTCTCTCTCCTCCCCTCTGTGGGGTCACCAGGATCACTTGCTTTTCTCCAAATGGGCATTTTTGCTGGCAGGTGCATTACACCCCTTATTTTCAGATTGTCTTTCCGCTGCTAATGCCTGGCAGGTTGATTGCTCGGGTCTGGCTGGCGGAGAAAGGGCTGCACTGCGTTCGGGCCGCGGACTGAAAGACACTGATTACTGTTTTCCTCTGAGCCTGATTGAGGCCCTTGAAAGGAAAGATTTTAACCTTCTCTCCTCTCTCCTTGCTGAGTACGGGCCCGGCACGGCGAGATGGTCCGTGTCATCAGAACGACTCCATAAACTCATCAGAGCGAAACCCCACCACCACCCCCTCCTCCCTCTCTCTCTCTCTCTTCAAACCCGGCCCTTCCTGAGAGAGCCGTGGACACGTTTCTGATGTAAAATCTGACAGATGACATTATCATTTTGATTATTGCAGGAAAGGACGATTTCACTCTCTATTGAAACAAGTTTTTCTGGTCATGCAAAAAGCTGCCATTAGCATGGACAAATCACATTTTGATTATCGAATATAGGGCAATTAAAGGAATAATTTAAACAAAAGTTAAAATGATTTAATTATTTACTAGTCCTCATGTCATTGGACGAGATCTTTGTTGAATATCCTAGATGCTTTTTCTGTATAGTGTGATGAATAAAATACTTCAATTGTAGAGTTATATTCATAGTGTTCTGAGGTTAGTTTTGTGTGAATAAAATATTGAAGATCATTATTTTTCTGATACGATTTCCATTAAAAATAGACTACAGACGATACATTAAAGGGTTAATTCACCCCAAAATTTAAATTTGTCCATGTTTTACTCACCCTCACAGCATCCTAGGTGTATATGACTTTCTGCTTTCAGACGAATTGCTCTTGCAAGCTTTATAATGGCATGGGCGGGTGTTTTTGTTCAACAGTTCAAAAGTAGTCAAACAAAGCGTATCTATTCATAATTAAAACGTGCATCACATGGCTCCAGGGGGTGAATTAAGGCCTCCTGTAGCAAATCGAAGTGTTTTTGTAAGAAAAATATCCATATTTAAAACGATATAAACTACTTTCTCTCACTTCTGCTAACTGTCGTAGGCGGAAGCCGTTCTGGCGGATGACGAGGGACATCGGTGTAACGTAAGCACCGATGATTAGTAACGAATGCGGAAGCACAGAGGAGAGACAGCAAAACAAAACGCCGGTCACAAATTAGAAGTACAAAACGAGGATTTGAAAAGAAAAATGGCTTTGCTTCCTTTGCTCCTGTAAACAAACGTTGGTTTTCGCGAGACTCACATGCGCATGTACTACGTCCTACATCATCCGCCGGAAAGGCAGTCTCTCCTGAACGCACGTATGAAAGTTAGCGGAAGTTACACAAAACTGTTTGTCGTTTTAAATTATGGATTTTTTTTTTACAAAAATGCATCAATTTGCCACAGGTGGACTTTATTCACCTCCCGGAGCCGTGTGATGCACGTTTTAATATGGATGGATGTGCTTTATTTGACTGCTTTTGGGCTGTTGAACAAAAACACTCGCCCATGCCAACGCTTGGAAGAGCCAGGATAATTTTTAATATAACTCAGATTGGATTTGTCTGGAAGAAGAAAGTCAAATACACCTAGGATGCCTTGAGAGTGAGTAAAACATGGGCTAATTTTCATTTTTGGGTGAACTAACCCTTTAACTACAAAATGGTTCAAGTAGTTCTATCATGACAACTCTCTGAAGATTTTAGCATGGTAATGGATATGACAATGTTAATGTATTTGGTCTTGGCATACTAGATCTGCTATGATGCTGCTGTTGGTTATTGCTGTAGTTGTAGATTATTGCTGCTTCTGCCAGCAAGTACAGGAACCTGCTACTGCCAATACATAAGGTGATACGGTGCTGTGAGTATTTAAGACATACTGCTGCTGCACAAATAGCATATAAAAATAACCCGTAGCAGATCGACACAGTTGGAGCTGGGGAAGGTAGAGGATTTCAGAGGAATGCTGTAGTGAACGCTTCCCAGCCATTTAAATGTAAAGCAGTAAGCTTATTGGGTACGTATGCAAAATTAATCAGCTTGTGCCAAGTAGTAGTGAATATCATCAGTTTGCATTAATGACCCATCAGCCTGTGCCGTCTAGAATTTCATGACAAAACTTGGCATTTCTCTCGGTCAAACAGGATTTTCGCCAATGCTGCGGTATTTGATTTGTCAGTCAGTTTCTCACAGATGAGCTAATGTATTATAGGGATAGTTCACCCAAAAATAAAAATTTGCTGTTAGTTTACTCACCCTCAGGCCATCCAAGATGTTGGTGACCTTTTTTTCTTGATTAGAACAGTAAATAAGATCTTAGCTGAAACTGTGGTCCTTGGTAATTCATAAAATGCAAGTCAGTGGCTAATCAAAAAGAAACAATTAATCAAAAATAAATCCACACAAAGGCTGCAATTTAATGATGTACATGAACTGCATATTTCAGAGTAAAGCATGGCACTGTAGTGTTGTACACACAAACAGCTCATGACGTGTTGCTTTCAGTGTCTCAGTTTGCAGTAAATGCTGCTCCACATGAATTTGTGTGCTGTGAGTTGTGTGCATTGTGGGTATAATGCATTTGGAAACCCGTGTGCCGATCATCTTCTGCCATGAGAAGTGCTAAGAGAAGTGCTGTTGTCATTTCAGTGTCTCAGTTTGCAGTAAATGCTGCTCCACATGAATTTGTGTGCTGTGAGTTGTGTGCATTGTGGGTATAATGCATTTGGAAACCCGTGTGCCGATCATCTTCTGCCATGAGAAGTGCTAATAAACCAGCTGTTGTCAACAAAAGCTTGGTGTTTTAAATAAAAGTTTGATGTTTTAAACTTTTAAAAATTAAGAAATCAAGATAAATATTAGTATTATAATTGTATAGTTGTACTGTAAAATACAATTATTATTAAATTATTGTTTTTTTTAGTATTTTTTATGTTACTGTTTTATTTTACATGCACTACACTCACACAAAAAAGTAGAAAACTGTTACTGGGGTGGTTACTTCTCAAAAGGTACACCTTTAGACCTGTAGGGTATTTATTTTGTTTCATATTTTAAGTTATTATTATTAAAGCTCCAAACCTGTACATTTTTCAAAAATTGCATTTTAAAAATTGCTGATAAAATTTATATCCGAAATATTGCAATTACATTTTTTCCCCAAATCATCCAACTTTACTGTAGACTGCTTTTTTGTGGTTTTATGGTACCATTTTCTTTTTGAAAAGAGGGGCTAGAATATTCTTCAGATATTCTCCTTTTCTATTCCACTGCGGAAAGAAAGTCATATGGATTCAGAACGGTATGAATGCAAATAAATGAAAACATTTCATTTTGGGAACTATTCTTTTAAAATTTTTCCCTGAGCTTTACATTTGTTCAGGGTTCATTGGTAGAGTATTGTCAGAGATGAGCCGTGTGTGGCTTACAGCTGGTCAGGGCAGCAGCTTCATTTAGCTGCTCATGTTTGGGCTGAATAGCGGTCCCTGGACCCCCTGCCGACTCTCTAATTGCACAGACTTGTGTATCCGGAGAGAGTCTTGACTAAGAGCAGTCAGGCTGAAACCCCTGTGCCATCCTTGTGCCACCACACACACAAACACAGCAAAACCATCTGCCTAATACACACACACAGCCGTCAGCTGTCTCAGCCGCTGGCACCTGCTGCCCTATGTGTGTGTGTGTGTGTGTGTGTGTGTGGGATGTGCTGCTCAATAGTCCCTGTCTCAGTTATGCCGGGAGTCTGTTGGACGGGCTGTAGGTTAAGACCTCGGTGATGGCATAGCCCCCTGTAGATTAGAGAAAGGACAGACTCTGGGATGTAGATACAATGTCCAAACACACACTCCAGGTTGTTCTTGGGTGTTTGAACAGACTAAACAGGCTGTTAACAGTCATAGACTTGTCACATATTCACTGGGTTTCAGGAATTTGTTGGCTGATTCAATTTGATTTTCTTCCCCCACTTATTCTATTTATATTAATCAGAACCAGTGAAATGAAGCAAATCCTTCCACAGTCCTGGTTATGTTATGTTAATGGGGATTCAGGGTGAAATTAACATCTATCACCTGCTAAAAAGCTGGTTCTTTTAACACAATGATGGTAATTTTTTTTATCATACACTCATAGATATATTGTGTTTGTTCAGTTTCAGGTATAGAGGCCCCAACAAGTATCAGTCACATTAAAAAAAAATGCACATTGCATGTTTTTTTTGATCCACTTCATATAGTTAGATATCTTATATATTTTTAATTAGAGAAAATGGCAGGTATGGCACTATGGTTGATAAGTAAAAATGAAAGTCAATTTCCCACCCTTTGGATTACAGTGGTTTCATCTAAAAAATAAAAAAAAAGTCTAAATTTGTCTTTTAATCAAAAACTTAATAATTTTAGTTTTTAATGACGTTTATGACAGTCTCTGACCCTTAGAATTAAAAAGACTGCTTTTGCTACTGTACCCTTAAGAGGTTATTTACATATGTTAATGATTTATGTTACTATTGGCTGACTTCATGCAGAATAGTTCGTATTGTACTTAGGCCAAGTTGTGAACACTGAATAGGTGTTGATGCGTAAATGTGGATTTTGGGAGCCAAATTGTACAATTTAAAAGAATGCAGTGCTATAATGTTACCATGAGTTGTTTAATACCAATTAACCCACAGTTAACAAATGAAGAGTTCATTTGCAAAAACCGATAAAATGAAAATTATTATTATTTTTTTCAGAAATCATGTTTTTTTTATTGCACATTCCAAGTAATATCAATCAATGTGCAGTTGGGTTGTTTTGATTAAGTAATAATAACTTAAACAAATACAGGTAATTTACTAAATGAAAGTTCATTGAAAGTCCTTTTTCGCCCCGAAGAAGATATCACAGGTTCATCAAGTTTGCCGAAATGAACGTGTTTAGGGTTCAGATCGCACTCTATGTGGAGAATAATGCACGGCAATCAGCTCTTCTTTTTTTTTTAAAGTACCATTTATCGGTTTTTGCAAATGAACTCTTCAAATGTAATCTTGAAAATACTATATTAACCCAGTGATAACCCGAGTAGTGTGTAACATGGGCCCTATAATAAGACAGTTCAGCAGCTCTGGTGTGAATTATGTTGATGTTTGTGATCTTCCTATTGCAGAGGAAGCTGAGGAGGAAGAGACCACACCCCCGCAGCCTGAGGTCGAGGCAGAGAAAGAGAAACCAGCAGAGAAGCAAGATGAGGAAGGTATTGAAAGTATTGAACACACCTCATATACAGTGTCCTACATCAGTGCTATTTTAGTATCATTGATGTACTATCTTAGTTTTGGCTAATATTTTTAATTACATTAAAAAAAAAAATCTGTTTTCTTTTTCATTTTAGTTTGTCATTTTGTTGTGTTTCAGTCATTTTTTTATTAGTTTGTTTTAAAATATGTTTGTATAGTTTCAGTTTTAGTTATTTTAGCATTTCTCTTTAAACTAAATGAAAATGAGTAATGTTGTTGAAATGTTGAAGTTGACATTTCATGGAAGTTCTGTCTATTTGAAATGTGTGTCACAGAAATCCGATTTTTAGGGAAACACTTTAGTATAGCGACCAATTCTCACTATTAACTAGTTGCTTGTTAGCATGCCTATTATTAACATATTGACTGTTTAGTAGTGCTTATAAAGCACATATTCTGCATTACCAAATTCTACATCCATAGTCATACCCAATACCTAAACTTAACAACTACCTTTGAACACTGAATAGGTGTTGATGCGTAAATGTGGATTTTGGGAGCCAAATTGTACAATTTAAAAGAATGCAGTGCTATAATGTTACCATGAGTTGTTTAATACCAATTAACCCACAGTTAACAAATGAAGAGTTCATTTGCAAAAACCGATAAAATGAAAATTATTATTATTTTTTTCAGAAATCATGTTTTTTTTATTGCACATTCCAAGTAATATCAATCAATGTGCAGTTGGGTTGTTTTGATTAAGTAATAATAACTTAAACAAATACAGGTAATTTACTAAATGAAAGTTCATTGAAAGTCCTTTTTCGCCCCGAAGAAGATATCACAGGTTCATCAAGTTTGCCGAAATGAACGTGTTTAGGGTTCAGATCGCACTCTATGTGGAGAATAATGCACGGCAATCAGCTCTTCTTTTTTTTTTAAAGTACCATTTATCGGTTTTTGCAAATGAACTCTTCAAATGTAATCTTGAAAATACTATATTAACCCAGTGATAACCCGAGTAGTGTGTAACATGGGCCCTATAATAAGACAGTTCAGCAGCTCTGGTGTGAATTATGTTGATGTTTGTGATCTTCCTATTGCAGAGGAAGCTGAGGAGGAAGAGACCACACCCCCGCAGCCTGAGGTCGAGGCAGAGAAAGAGAAACCAGCAGAGAAGCAAGATGAGGAAGGTATTGAAAGTATTGAACACACCTCATATACAGTGTCCTACATCAGTGCTATTTTAGTATCATTGATGTACTATCTTAGTTTTGGCTAATATTTTTAATTACATTAAAAAAAAAAATCTGTTTTCTTTTTCATTTTAGTTTGTCATTTTGTTGTGTTTCAGTCATTTTTTTATTAGTTTGTTTTAAAATATGTTTGTATAGTTTCAGTTTTAGTTATTTTAGCATTTCTCTTTAAACTAAATGAAAATGAGTAATGTTGTTGAAATGTTGAAGTTGACATTTCATGGAAGTTCTGTCTATTTGAAATGTGTGTCACAGAAATCCGATTTTTAGGGAAACACTTTAGTATAGCGACCAATTCTCACTATTAACTAGTTGCTTGTTAGCATGCCTATTATTAACATATTGACTGTTTAGTAGTGCTTATAAAGCACATATTCTGCATTACCAAATTCTACATCCATAGTCATACCCAATACCTAAACTTAACAACTACCTTACTAACTATTAATAAGCAGCAAATTAAGAGTTTGAGGCAAAAGTCGTAGTTAATGGTTTGTAATAGGAATGCACCGATACCACTTTTTCCTGTACTCGCCCGATACCGATACTTTTATTTTTGGTACTTGCCGATACAAAGTACCGATACCGATATTTTTATTGCATTTGTAAATTTTTTAAATATTGGGTACAGAAACCAAAAGGGTATGTATAATGTTAGTTGGTTAACTTCATTTATCAAATAGATAGTGTGACGTGTCGGCTGCCTCCCCCTAATTATCATCATCACCCCCCCGTCCCTTAATCGCCGCCCTTCACCAGGCTCTCGACGGGAGTGGGTGCGTGAGAGAGGAGGGGGCGCTGAAATAGCCAGGGCTGGCGGCGTGTGATGGGGCACACTTGAACCGAATGGAGCCTCATCACCGCCGCTGTTTAAATGCCGAGCGCGCCTCTTCTCGCGAGACCGGTCTCTTCCCCGTGCACGCACGCTGGTGTCCTCGTGGGTCCAGGAGGGGAGCGTTGAGGGATCTCCGTGCCGCCGAAGATGCGAGCTACCGGACCCACAGTCCGGACGAGAACCGCACCCGTTACCCAGCCGTCGGGCCAGGATGCCGGGCCGTCTAGTCCCTTCACACGCCGGGGCCAAGGCGAGAAGGATGCCGCCGCTGGAAGAAGCCGCCACATATTCACATACACTAGTCCATATCGCGGTTTGATTGAAGTGTACTGAATTGCATTTGATTTATTCATTCAATATTTGATGAATTCCGTGACATTGCTCGTTACACAGTAAACTTCTGTTGTGTAGCATTTTGAATGTAAAAAAATTAAAGGGTTTGTTTAATTTTCATTGGAATAAAAGATAGATTCATGTTTTTGCCTTCATTTGATTACCAGAAAAATGAAAATACACAACACAGAATTTCTAAAAAAATAAGTAAATAAAATTACAATTTCATAGGGCCCTATTATTGTATACAAATTAATAAATTAAATTGTTTTCATGAATTCAATTAATTAGATATATTTTTGATTAAACCATTAAAATGGAATACAGAAAAATTAAAATGGAAAGCGCAGAATTTGGGCCCTAAGAATGTAATTTTTGTTAAACTTTTAATAGGCCTAAACTGCTGTTAAAAGTTTCATGATTTTAATTAATTATACATGTTTTTTGTTCAAATTTAATATAATCATCCAGAAAAATTAAAACGAAAAATAAAAACTGAAAAAAATTAAACTTAGGCTAATTTGGGAAAAATAAAACGGATTTCATAGGGCCCTACAGATATCATGCATCTGAAGCTATAATTTTAATACTACGCAACAGTGCATATTATATACGGTCTATTTTAACTTTTTTAAATTGCGCTCACTCGTTTTTGTGAAAGACCCAAGAAGGACCATGCACAGTCACTTTCCACACAGGCACACTTCATGTTTGGTTGAAATAATCCTTAAGCATTTAAATTTATAATTTCCTTCAGTTTAATTTAAATGTGCAATTAAAATAAATAAAAAATAAGTGTATATTTTAAAGTTTAGAATTATACAGCCTTGTGTTGCGTAGACGACTGCATAGTAAAAATTACCCCAACGCACCACCTAGTGTCCAACCTACTCTTATATAATACAACCTACTCTCTATAATACTATTATAACCTGTTTAAATGTGAACAAGGGATTTACAACATTAAAGAAATCCTTTATTTATAACATGTACATGAAAAATCTAAAAGATTAGACACAACTATGGGACACGGTCGTGCAGCAGCAAGCAACAGTGAAAGCAACCTCAAGGTTGTAAATGTGTGAAATTGCATAGGGCCCCATTCCTGTATTTTGCCTGGGGCCCCCAAATCACTAAATCCGCCCTGGCACAGTCATTGTAGGTACGACGGCTAATCAAAATGGTACTTACTTGCGCTTATCCGCATTGTTCAAACTGACTTCTGAGCCTGCTTGCCTGAAGTTATGGTTGATTGATCTTCAGCTGGATATCAACACACTGTGACGAGTCGGCTGCCTCCCCCTAATTATCAGCATCACCCCGTCCCTTAATCGCCGCCCTTTGCCAGGCTCCCGACAGGATTAGGTGCGTGAGAGAGGAGGGGGCGCTGAAATAGCCAGGGCTGGCGGCGTGTGATGGGGCACACTTGAACCGAATGGAGCCTCATCACCGCCGCTGTTTAAATGCCGAGCGCGCCTCTTCTCGCGAGACCGGTCTCTTCCCCGTGCACGCACGCTGGTGTCCTCGTGGGTCCAGGAGGGGAGCGTTGAGGGATCTCCGTGCCGCCGAAGATGCGAGCTACCGGACCCACAGTCCGGACGAGAACCGCACCCGTTACACAGCCGTCGGGCCAGGATGCCGGGCCGTCTAGTCCCTTCACACGCCGGGGCCAAGGCGAGAAGGATGCCGCCGCTGGAAGAAGCCGCCACCCCTCGCGTCCCGGACAGGAGAGGGGAGCGCGTGCGGCCGCCGGACTCCGCCCCTTAACTGGACCCTTCCTTCCTGATCACTGCCCTTCCCTGCACGAAGCCCGCACATCAGCTATACAGGCGTTAATACTGCATGTTTAACATTATATTCATTGCATACATACACTTCGTAGTAGACATCCTTAACTCCTTTCTGCTGTCTGTTGTTCTGTTGTTGGTGTTTCTTTGTCTGAATATGGGGCTTATCACATGCTGTGTGGTATCGGCGTTTGGTATCGGGGCATTTTAACGAGTACGAGTACGAGTACAGGAGACCAGTATCGGTATCGGTGCATCCATAGTTTGTAATAGCGAGAATTGGACCTTAAAATAAAACGTTTTAGTTTAATGTTGGTGTAATGGAAACACAGTCTAGCTAAGAAATATATGTAAGGAAAAATTCACAACAGACCACTGAAATATTGACAGTTTAATGCACACAGTTTAGTGCACCCTGCTTCAGGTCATGGACATGATTGTACCCAGTGTGCATTAAATGTTCAATAGTTTAGTGGTTTGCAATCCACTCTTCCACTTATGCACAGTTGCTCCCTGCGATACACGTATTTAGGCATCTTTTGTGTAGAGCTACTCTCTTGCAATAATGGTTAAGCATCTTGCATGGCTCAATATTGGATTGACTGTAACAAACCTGGAACTGCTTCACAGTTGTGCAAAAACAAACACTATTTAATGAAACACTTTGGAACATTTGTCAAACACTAGAATCAAGAGTTCAACCATTCTGATGCATAAATGCAATTAATTTCATCCAGTGACATACCTGTCATTGTGTCCTGTCTGTTCGTGAGTGTAGCGCCCCCTCATGAGCTAACAGAGGAGGAGAAGCTGCAGCTTCTGCACTCGGAGGAGTTCATGGAGTTCTTCGATCACAGCACACGTATCATGGAGCGCGCTCTGTCCGAACACGTGGACGTTTTCTTCGACTACAGCGGCCGTGACATGGAGGAGAAGGAGGGGTAACAGTCAGCCCTACTCACCTAAACGAGATCACAAACCAGCTCATGTGCACTGTTTATTGTGTTTAATGTCAGATACTTGTGTGTGTGTGTCTAGTGAGATGCAGGCTGGGGCCAAACTGTCTCTAAACAGGAAGTTTGTTGATGATCGCTGGTCCAAACAGCGAGTGGTGACCTGTCTGGATTGGTCCCCACAGGTATGTGACCTCCTAAACTTCATGTATGTCAAAACTTCAAGTATAAATATTGATTTTCATTAAATATTTTAGCGTGGTTTAATTATAATTTTTTTCTGAAACATTTGAAGCCTTTATTTTCATTGCATTATAACATATGCAATACTGTTCAAATCTGGGGCCAGTAATTATTATTATAATTTTTTTTTAATGAGACTTTTGAGCAATGGCACAATAAATTTGTCAAAAGTACCTTATAAGACATTTATATTGTTACAAAAAACAGTTTATGTTCAAAATTCTGAAATGCTGTTCAAAATGTTTCTTGAGCAGCAGCTCACTTCTGTGAGATACTGTGTATATATATATATATATATATATATATATATGTATGTATATATGTGTGTGCATATAGATAGATAGATAGAAAAATGGATAGATTCAAATAGATAACACTTATTTTAAATTGTAAGATTTCACAATATTACTGTTTTTACCGTATTTTTTATCAAATAAATGCAGCCTTGGTCATAAGAGACTTCTTTCAAAAATCTTACTGACACAAACCTTTTAAATGGTACTGTATAATATATAACAATGATGTAGCACGTGAAATTAGGCTGAAATTGAATTATATTTTTCATTAGTAGGTTAGTTTTACAATTTATCAAAACTGCTGCTACTGTTGTTCATGAAAATATGAAAAACGATTGGATATAATGTTTTGGATATATTGTTTATTTAAGTAATGGATATAATGTTTATTTAAATAACTAAGTAATGGATATATTTTATAATAGGGTCCAGTTAAACATTTGAACATGCCTGATTTGGACATGTTTGACACCCTCTTCAGATGTAGTTTAAGGAGATAAATATAAGTACACTTCAATTTTATAATTCGACAACTATTTTACTTTAGTTTATTTCAAAACTACCCTTTTTTTTGCTTGTTGATGATAGTAATAGTAATTTGTAAATGTGAAATAAGAGGAATTTGTCTGAAACCGACAGAAATGTTGAAGATCCTCTAAAAACAAGCAAATGCTGTTTAAGCCACCAAATATTTGACCCTGGACCACAAAACCAGACATAAGGGTAAATTTTTCAAAGTTTCTGAATAATAAGCTTTCCATTGATGTATGGTTTGTTAGGATGGGACAATATTTGACTGAAATACAACTATGTGAATATCTGGAATCTGAGGGTGCAAAAAAATCTAAATATTGAGAAAATCATCTTTAAAGTTGTCCAAATGAAGTTCTTAGCAATGCATATTACTAATCAAAAATTAAGTTTTAATATATCTACAGTAGGACATTTACAAAATATCTTCATGGGACATGATCTTTTCTTAATATCCTAATTATTTTTGGCATAAAAGAAAAATCTATAATTTTGACCCATATAATGTATTTTTGGCTATTGCTACAAGTTGATTTCTTTCGCTGTATCAAACAGAAGCTCATACAGATGATGTCTTGGAGTCGCTGTGTCTAGTTTGATGTAATAGATCTAGAGTATAAACCCTCTCAAATGCACTGCACCTCATGTGTGTCCACCGCACAAACAGATGTGTGTGTGATTTGAGAGAGAGGACAAAACACACACTCAAACAATGCTGTCAATGTGAGTTTACATGAGAAATCTCCTGGCGTCATGCAATTAGTGGCTCATCAGATACTTTATGACATTGTCGGTTTATTAACTGTCCCTGCATATAAAAAAGTATATAGATTATCAAAAACAATTACACACATAACATTGACAGTGTTTAAAATGCAGTCAGATTCCCCTTTTGAAAAAGTGGTTAGCTACACTATTTACTTAAATGCTATTCATATGTATCAGTATTGCTGTATATTCAATAACAGCTTACATAAGGTTCTCAGTGGGTTACAGCATCAAACCCGAATGCATAAATTTACACTAAATACCACAAATGAAACTAAAAAATGTCTTAATTTATAAGATTGAATTAAAAACACTGCTCAGCTGTAATGGCATGTCATGTTACTGTTAAAAAAACAGCTTTCTTTCTGGAAAAGCTATTCTTTTTCACCAAAAATGTCATTTCAAACATATAAGACTTACATTTCAGTCTGAATATAGCACAGGAGTTGTCTATTACTTTTGTTTTAGTCATATAGGTTTAGAACAATGTAAGGGTAAATTATGAGTAAATCATTTCTTCTTTTTGGGTACAACTGTTTTATATAGCTTGTAGTTTGCATTTTGAATGATTAATATTAAAAAATATGTTTTGTCCCAATTTTTTTCATGCGTGTTTGTAACGGGTAGTCCAAAAAATTAATGAATGAATACATACATACATACATACGTACATGGGTCAAAGACGAAAAAGGGTTTAAGCATAAAAATAATAAGTGTAATACTGCTTTAAATTGTAGTTTAAAAAAAAAAAATTAAACATTTTCTGTTTAATTTAATTGCAATTTTGTTTTTTCTGAGCAAAAAATAAATATCATATATTTTTCCCTGATTTACAGAAGAGACCCACTAAAATGTCATTCAGTGTAACAATCTTGTCAGGCATATTTACAACAAAAATCAGTTTATGACATATTAAAAGACTAATGACTTTCAAACCAAATACTAATTAGTTGTTATTTTACATTTTTAAAATGTGCCACTATCCTAGGTTTTGCCCATTTGTCAGTAATAATTTTTTACTCATTTAAAGCACAATCAAATTTAATATGCTCCTTTATTCTTTTATACATGTTAATATGTACACGTCAGAATAAGCATGTTGTTTGAATTTTTACATAAATTTTGTGTTACACTGAATGACAATTTAACATTATTTCAACCAAATTCTGACATTTTATTCTCCGAAAACTAATTTGAAACCTTAAAAGTAGACACTTTACTTACATTTAATGTGCTTTCTATGGACATAAAATCTTTTATAAATTTATTTTGATGCGGACATCTTAACGTCTTTGACCCACGTATAAGTGGATGCTTGTCGACCAGAAAAAGCTGTAACCAGACTTGATGCTGGAAGTCAGAAGTTTTTCTTATGTAGTATAAAGTCTAGTTCTTGACCTGTACACATGTGTTCACAGTATCCAGAGTTGCTGGTGGCCTCTTACAACAACAACGAGGAAGCCCCGCATGAGCCTGATGGAGTGGCTTTGGTCTGGAACATGAAATACAAGAAGACCACACCGGAGTATGTCTTCCACTGTCAGGTACACACACACTCACACACACACACACACACACACCCACCTGCCTTCAATCAGCAACGACTGACTTCTCACTCCTCCCTAGTATGTCTTCCACTGTCAGGTACACACACACTCACACACACACACACACACACCCACCTGCCTTCAATCAGCAACGACTGACTTCTCACTCCTCCCCGTGCACACACCTCCTGAAAGCCATCCCACATAACATGATTGTCATATACAAACACCTACACACCGGTCTGAGATCTCACGGGTGGGCTGCAGACGGATTTCCTTCCATCCTCTCTGTGTCTTTCTGTCTCCCTCTCATTCCCCTGCACACTGATTTCACTAGCATTCAAACACACACACACACACACATACACACACACAGGTTTACATTTGTGAAAAGTGGGGACATCCCATAGGCTTAATGGTTTTTATACTGTACAGACCGTATATTCTATTGCCCTACACCAACCCTACCCCTAAACCTACCCCTCACAGGAGACTTTGTGCTATTTCAGATTTTCAAAACACTCCATTCTGTGTGATTTATAAGCGTTTTGAAAAGTGGGGACATGGGGTAATGTCCTGAAAAGTCACCACCTCCTTGTAATACCTGTCATACCTTTGTCATTATACGTCCTCATGTCCTCATTTGTCACAAAAACGCGCGCACACACACATACACACACACACACACACATACACACACACACACACACACACACACACACACACACACATACACACACACTTGTGATACCTTAAAGGAATAGTTCAAAATCTCTTGTGTCATGACTTTTTCCTTGCATGGATCACAAAAGGTTTTGAAGACTGTTCAAGCTTCTCTTTTTCATACAGTAAAAGCATATATGGTCATATCTGTAAACGTTCATTGCATGGAGAAAGAAACAACAGCATGTGAACATTGTCTAATATCTCTGTCTGTGTTCCATGTAAGAATGAATGACATACAGGTTTAGAACAATATTATCTGAGGGAGTTAAATGATGATGAAATGCTCATTTTTGATACTGTTGCACATGCACATTCATTCACAAACTCCGGTTCAAATGTTTTTAATAAAGATCTGGTAGCATAGAGCCAGTAACACTTTCTAATATTCAGTACTGAATACTGCTTAACACTCCCAGTACACTTCAAATCTGCAAACACCTTTTGCATTCCTCGGGTCAGTTTTAACTTGAGCTTATAAAACATTCATAAATTAATCATTTTCAAACCATGTTAAAATGTGTTTAATAACTGCGTTATTACCATGTTACGACTTTATTTGCACAGTTCTGTTCATAAAAGAGGAGAGATTTGTTTAAATTTTACATTACACATGAAGGAAAGCAAGTGTGATGCAAGAAAAAAAAACATACATTTTTGTAGGAATTTTATTTAAATATATAATTAAATGAATATTATAAGAACATATAAAATGAGAAGAACTGTTTGACTAGAGTTGATTTTAAAATATAAATGGTCATCAGACTCAACCCCACAGATTTGTAATCCTTCTGGCCATTATGCTGCATTACAAACAGTACAGAAGCAAATTGTAGCATTTCTTTTGGATGTTTTTCACTGATCAGTTGTGTATGTGATGAGTGTTGCTGTATGTTCAGTGCTGGCTGTGTGTTTGGCCTGAGGTGATCTGCTTGGGACGGCCTGAGTAGAACCACATGTGCCACCCTCAGCAACGGATGCACAGCGCACACACCCACACACACATGAACACACACAAACACACACACACACACACGTGCACACGAACACAAACTCACACACGTGCACACGTACATAAAAACACACACACTAACACACACACACACACACAC